AGTCATGAACAAGGTTAAGTATTTGGGGATACATTTGACAGCAAGATGTAGTACATTGAAAGAGAACAATTACATTAAACTTAAACAGCAGATAGTGTTGGACTTGATGAAATGGGAAAATCTACAATTGTCATTAATTGGGAGAATTTTAACAATCACAATGAATATTTTACCCAGAATTTTATATTTGTTTCAAACAATACCAATACCAATTAGGCTTGGAAAGGACTTGTGTTGAAATATATATGGCAAGGTAAGAAAGCGAGAATAAAGTTAAAACTCTTGCAAGATGCTAGAACTAGAGGAGGATTTGGTTTGCCTAATTGGGAATTGTACTATCAAGCTACAAATTTAATGTGGGCTAAGGAATGGATAACATTAAGAAATACTAGATTGTTGACATTAGAAGGACATGATTTGTTGTTGGGGTGGCATGCTTTTTTATGGTATAAGGGAACCAAAACACAGGGCTATTTTAGAAGACATCATATACGGGAGTCTCTGTGGTTAAATTGGGAGAAGGTTAAAAGACAATGTTATTTGAAAATTCCAGTCTGATTATCGACTATTGAAGCATTTTCTTATCCTATAATATACAAAAAGGAACAAACAGCTTTGGTGAAATATTGAATGAAAAGGGTGAACTTAAATCTATGCAAAAACTAGAGGAACAAGGTATAAAGATGAATTGGTTTTCATATGTGCAAATACATTCAAGGTATGATAAGGATTTTAAAACAGAAGGTTTTTATCATAAATTGATTGACTTAGATAAGATTTTGACAGGTACTGATGAAAAGGTGATTAAAAAATTGTATGGATATCTATTAGAAATTAAACTAGAAGAACATGTTAAAGAAACTATGATTGCTTGGGGGAAGAATTTTGGATATGGGATTGATCTAGAGAAATGGCAAAAATTGTGGTCTCAAAATTATAAAATGACAATGTCAACAGCACTTAAAGAAAATTTGTATAAGATGTTTTACAGGTGGCATTTTTTCCTGACAAGAATAGCAAGAATGTTCAAGAATAAATCTGAAAAATGTTGGAAATGTCATCAGATACCTGGATCATACTACCATATGTGGTGGACTTGTGCGGATGCGAGAAAATACTGGACTAAAATCCACACGTGATTGGAAAAAATGACAAAAAACCATATAGATTTGAAACCAGAGATATTTTTATTGGGAATTTTACCTGATACATACAGTAAAGATTTAAAATATTTGATTGTAAATGTATTAACAGCAGCTAGGATTGTATTTGCTAAAAATTGGAAAAATGAGAAAATATCATCGCAGGAGGAAACCATTAAGAAAATATTGGAATGTGCTGAAATGAGTAGATTGACATTTGAAATTAGAGAACAAGAGGATAAACAATTTTACAAAATTTGGGACCTTTTCTATCAATGGTTAGATAATAAAATATAATATTAAAATATGTAGAATTTTAGAAAACAATGAATATATAAAGATGTATTTCTTTTCTTTTTTATTATTATATCTATAAAATGTTTCTAGGATAGATTTGGGAGGATTATATGAATTGTTATAAAATAAACTAAGTAAATTATAGTTATCTCGCAAAGTATGAATGAACAAAATTGTAGTCAAATGATTGATTAATAATGATAATAGGGTATTTAATCTTTGATTGATAATATATTATGCAATGTAACTGTAATTGAGACTATGAAATGAATGCACAAAAAAATTGTAAACCAACCAACATACTGCTTGCACACTTATGGAAGAAAGTTGGATGCTTTTATGTTTGGTTTGTTTTTGTTTGTCTTTAAAAACCAAAAATATTACAAAAAAAAAAAGACTTGTGGACTTCAACTCCCAGAATTCTCCTAGCTGGATGGAGAATTCTGGGAGTTGAAGTCCACAAGTCTTAAAGTTGTTAAGTTTAGTGACCCCTGCATTACATTATCTCTGGAGGACCTGCAGATCACATGCCCAATTTCCTTGGCATAATTACTAAATATATGTAGTTTGGCATAATACCACTATAAATGTTAAAAATTGAAAAAAATTAAATCCCATTCTAGCCTGCAGTAAGAATATAATTCCACCCATTCTTCACTCACCGTGACCTTCATAAAAGCCCAAGAAATCCTTCACAGCATCCATGGACCAAAAAATTCAAACCATATAAATCAGACTTCAGCGCGTTACTGAAACCCAACTGTGATAAAACCTTTCCTCATGTTGATGTAAATGATGGGGAAAAGGCAAAAAAAAAAAAGCAAAACCACAAAAACACTCTATTTTTTAAAAAAAAACAAGGCTACAGAATTATAATCCATTATCAAGATTGCATTTTTCATTGTCACAATTAAAATGGAACTTTAAAGAAAAATCTGTGTTTTGATGCCCGATTTCCCACCCCACACACACACCCATGCAATTTTCCCCTTGGCCCTCACTTTTGCAGAAATCCACCTGTCTGTTAGCAGATTCCCATATTTGGATTTCAAAATTAGGAGTTATTTCTTCAGGGGTTGGGATTTAAAATTCATGTGTCAATTTTTGGATTAACACACAATTCAGTGACTTCCATTACACCAGTATATCTCAACCATATCAACTTGGAAGATGAGGATACTTCAATTCCCATAATTCCCCAGGGAATTCTGGGAGTTGAAGTCCGTGCATGCTCAGTTTGCTGAGGTTGAGAAATATTGTTGGGAGATGAATTATCCAGTAGGATCCCCATGGGATCAAATCAGCTTATTTCACCATTACATGGCCAGAGAAAGGTGCAAAAGCATTGATTGAGCCATACTACACTCTTAATAAAAGTGACCTTTGAACTTTTGTGGTTCAGTCGCTAAGTTGTGTCTGACTCTCCGCAGCCCCATGGACCATAGCATGCTATCCCTTCCCATCCTCCATTGTCTCCTGCAGTTTTCCCAAATTCATCTCATCCTCTGCCGTCTCCTCCTTTTCACCTTCCATCTTTTCCAGCAACAGGATCTTCTCCAAGGAGTTCTTTCTTCTCACTCGGTGGCCAAAGTATTTGGGGGTTCAGCTTCAGGGTTTGTACTTCCAAAGGACAGTCGGGGTTGGTTTCCTTTAGCATTGACTGATTGGGTATCCTTGAAGCCTAAGGATCTCTTGAGAGCCTCCTCCAACATCACAATTTGAAAGCATCCGTGCTCAGCCTGCCTTCTAGTTTATGTGTCAACTTGTAAAACATTCCTACACTTGTTTCCAAGTTGCCATAAGAAAGACGGGGGGCAGAAGACTGGAGAAGCATAGGGCAAACGAACTTAGAAGTACATTTCAACCTGATCTTAAACAAGATTGTAGCTAAGCAACTGAAACTTGCCTGTGAAAAGCTTTAATTGGAGAAACGTGATGGATGACACCTAGCCCACGTACCTGCTTAATTGGAGAAGCTGATTTATGGGAGAAGCTGGGTCACAGGTGCTGTAATTACGTATACCGGAATTGACTTCACACAGATCATGCCAGTATGTCGCTCCTAGTGGATTCTTTGAAGTTTTTAAAGTTTGGCTCAAGGCTCATTATTTAATTAGGGCGATTGCTGGAATCCTGACATTATGAATTACAAACATCAAACATATCTGGAAGACATTAGATTAAAAATATCCAGGGGAAGTGGAGAGGGAGTGGGTATTTGGGAGTCCCAACATTTGGGGCTCTTAGGGTAGATAAGCTGTGAAGGAAAGAGAAATCCCATTGTTAGAATAATGACCAGGAAGCTTATGGAAAATATCTTTCAGGCTGAACAGCAGACTTTCACTGAAGGAAGCTGCTAACTAAAGGGGCAGTAGGTAGAAAGGCAAGTGCCATTTTTGTAACACTGGGAAAAGAGGAAATGACTTGTGAACAGGCCGTTATTGAGGAATATCCTGGTTTATGGTCAGGGTGAAGGCTTCAGTTCCCAGGGAGATAATTTAAAGAAAAATAATTTGGCTTTGTAAGAATGAGAGAGAATGAATTAACCACGATTTGTATGGAATGAAATTGAGAGACTTGATGTTACCTTTTCAGATAGTCCTCAACTTACAACAATTCATTTAGTGACAGTTCAAAGTCACCGAAAAAGTGACTTATGTCCGTTTTTCACAGTTTCAACCTTTGTAGCATTCCCGTAATCATGTGATCAAAATTTGGACATTTGACAATTGGCTCATATTTACGGCGGTCGCAGTGTTCCCGGGGTCATGCGATCCCCTTTTGTGACCTTCTGACAAGCAAACTCAATGGGGAAGCCAGATTCACTTAACAACTTATGTTGCAGTGATTCACTTAACAACTGTGGCAAGAAAGGTCATAAAATGGGGCAAAAGCAGAGGTGGTATTCAGCAGGTTCTGACCAATTCTGGAGAATTGGTAGCAGGAATTTTGAGTAGTTCCGAATACCACCTCTGACTGGCCCCACCCCATCTATTCTCTGCCTCCCGAGTCCCAGCTGATCTTTTGGCTGGGTCTCCTGGGTCGCCTTGCACAGGAGAATGGAGCTGGAAAGCAGGTTATTGGTGTGGGGAGGGAATGGGATTTTGCAGTATCCTTCCCCTGCCACACCCACCAAGCCACGCCCACAGAACCGGTAGTAAAAAAATTTGAATCCCACCAATTTTGAATTTTGACCAAGTTATTTAACAAATGTTTCATTTAACAACACAAAATTTGGGCTCAACTGTGGTCATAACTCAAGAACTATCTGTAATGTGCAAAACTGACCAAGGATATGTATTATCACCTAACTACAGGTTTCTGAGTCCTTTCCACATTTCTGTTTGGCATCTAAAAATATGTCTTGAGTTTTACTCAGTGCATTTCACTTCTCCCAATTCCAGCCCAATTTCAGACACGTAGTAAGTCAAATATTTTCACGTGCAATGATGCAACTATCTCTTTATGCCAGTCATCCCCCAAACGGTGGCTTCATTTTGCTTCCATTTATGTAGAACACCTAAATAAAATAATATTGTTTTAAAAAATAAACAACAACAATTGAGAGAAACCTTCGCTTATTTCTTGTGCAAATAATGGAACAATTTTTTAGTGGGGAAGGGGAAGTTACTGTTTTCCCAGTTGAGAAAAATTAGGAAATCATTTTCATTAAGATTATTGTTGACCATACAGATTTCTAGAAGACTTTATTTTTAAAATTGTCCTTTTGAAATTTGGGAATCTCTCCTCCAAGATCCATCTTCTTTCTGAGTCAGGAAGTCAAAACAGCCAAGATGGTATAGCCACCGAGCGATCGAAGTTCCATCAATTTTTTTACCTGCATTGACAGTTCTAAGATAAATTTGTGGCCCCATCTTAACCTTTGTGCCCTGCCTTGCAAACAATCCTGTTTTCAGGTGTCACCAACTATCCGTCCGTTTGTTCAAAACAATCCGAATTGTTTCTTCTCGTTTTGCTGTTTCCATGTAGGCATCTGGTAAAATGCATCTTTTGTCTTCCCAAAGATATCAAAAAATTCTGCATCAGATAGGAAGTACTGCAAAGAGAACAACAATAAAAAATATAACCCCCTTTATTGAGTTATTCTTCCTTTACTAACAAAATAAATAATAAGAGGTAGATCTTGACTTTCAACCCTTCATTTAATGACCATTCTAAGTCACAATGGCACTGAAAAAGGCGACATACGACTGTTTGTTCAGTGAGTTTTGCCTCATGTTACAACATTTCTGGGTGCAGTGATTAAGTGAATCACTCCAGTGGTTAAGCTAGTAATATGGTTATTAAGTGAATCTGGCTTCCCCATTGACTTTGCTTGTCAGAAATTTGCAAAAGGGGATTGTATGACTCCAGGACAATGCAACCGTCATAAGTACATGCCAGTTGCCAAGTGTTTGAATAGCCATCACGTGACCATGGGGTTGCAGCAATAGGCGTGTGAAAAACAGTCATGCCACTTTTTCCCCCCAGTACCACTGTAACTTTGAACGGCCACTAAATGAATGATGTGTAAGTTGAGGACTATCTGCGAATGATTCTCAAATTGGAACTTGGCTTAGCACACTTCTGGAGAGAGCATCTCCCTTGCTGAAACTGATAAGATGTTTCCTGGCTGCGTTAGAAAGAATGTCTTAAAATGCAGAACATCTTTGGGCCTTAGTTGGGGGTGGAGTTTTTGGAAGAGGATTATGTAGCATCCCTACAACTCCAAACTTTGAAAATTATGGTCCTTTCCAAAAATCAATATATCGGCCACATTCACATGCGCTATAAATGCTCTCCTAGGATGAACCCTGCACTCCACAAATATAGGGTTTTATTTTATTTTTTTATTTATTTATTTTGTCAGGCGTGTGTTAGATAACAGATATAAGTATAAACATGATTATTAATACCTGAAATGGATACGAATAAGATGGGAACAGTAGGACAGGGACGGTAGGCACGCTGGTGCGCTTATGCACGCCCCCTTACAGACCTCTTAGGAATGGGGTGAGTAGACAGTCTAAAGTTAAAGTTTTGGGGGGTTTGGGGAAGAAACTAGAGAGTCAGGTAGAATATTCCATGTTTTTGAGGTTTTTTTTGAGTATTGAGTTTGTATCTAGGAAGGGTTCTCCTTCAGAATTTGGAGGTGGCCCCTAAATCAAAAGATTCTCCGAAGACAATTTTTAAATTCTATTATACCTCTGGAGATTTTCAGTCATCCAGGGCATAGTTGTCTCAAAGGTGCTTATTCAAAAGGCAATTGGACTTTTTTCAACCTTAAGGAAGAAGAAGAAAAACATGTTTTGCTTCTCATTCCAGGAGCTTCATCGGTTTCTGATGACCGGGGGTGGAGGGGGATGGAAGGATGGGTGAGATACCATTTTTAGGATAGTCCTGTTTACTTCACAATTTTTCCCCTGTCACCAGTGGTGGGATTCAAATTTTTTTACTACTGGTTCTGTGGGCATGGCTTGTTTGGTGGGTGTGACTTGGTGGTCATTGCGTCACCTTGCTGAAAGTGACGTCAAGTTGGGCCACACCCACTCAGTCACACGACCGATGCTGCAGAGACAGGGTGATTTCCTACATACCTTCCCTCCCCCTCTGACCTTGGGCTGACAATAAAAAAAAGCACAACCAAAGATCGCGACTGCCTGCCGAGTCGGCCTGCTCTCCTCTTTCTCTGCCTGTTTGTTCTGTATGGCCGAGGAGGAAGAGAGCAGCCGGCTTGTTGGGGAGGCTTCTTGTGCTGCGAAAGAGGCGGCATGCTTTTTTTTGGTGGGGCTGGACTCCAGCTGCACCGAAAAAAACATGCAGCAGCTGCAGGCATCTCGCAACAAGAGGGGGGGCAAGAAGCCCTGGGAATCCGCCCATCTGCTGGCTTGCCGGACCGGGCTAGGCTGGAAAAGCCGTGTCCGCCGGGAGAAGGAAGAAAGTGTGCTCCGGGAGGGCGAGCAGGTTGCCGGATGTCCCGGGGCTGCTGCAGATGCACACTGCATGTGTAGCAGATGCACACACAGTGCGCATGTGCAGCAGCTGCAGGACATCTGCCCGAGCTGCACTGCAGCCACCACATGGTAGAGAAAGCTAGGAGAGCAATTGGGGCAAGGGAACGACCGGGCGACTGGGTCAAGGGCGTGGCCAGCCAGAGGTCGCCACCAGTTTGGTGACCCATGCCAAAGCAGTGCTACCGGTTCTCATGAACCGGTGTGAACCGGTTGAATACCACCTCTGCCTGTCACCTGAGGAAGCCTTCTCAATAGAGAAGTTGGCACGGCCCTTTTCCAGAGGCTACCAGACTAGAACTGCAATCATTAACTCATATGTTGTGTGTGAAAAAGACTCAGATATATCATTGTGGGGTGCTTGGATGTTTTCTTGCTTCATTCCTGAACTAAGTAATATCATCATCAGGAGTGGAGTTTGCAGAAAGGAGGAGGAGGAGGAGGAGGAGGAGGAG